GGTCAGTGTAAAGGCGACACCGTATTCCATCAATTACAACAACAATGCTGTCGCTGTTCGATTGTCATACTGTATATATTTACATGAAAGCATGCAAAACATAAACAGACCATTTGTTTATATAACGTACCTTAAAACTAATGCAAGAATTAGGTTATAGACCTAAAAAAGTTTGTAGATAATAAGCGGTACATGTGAGTGTGATCACAGTGAAACAGTGGTTTAGTGTCTGTTCTGTTCGTGCTTGTATTTGTGCTGAAGAGGTCGTTCCCATTAATCTGATTGAGTGTTATTTTTACCAGCGGGATGGAATGTAGCAGCAGCATCAGCACTGCCTTACATGGTTTACTGTGGTGAAAGTGTGCACTTTTGCTCTCAGTACACACAGCAAACACACACACACAGCTCAGCGCCAGCAGGTGCCCATGGGTAATGATGCCCCCTGAGGTCTTTAAAACTTGCAAATGTGCTCTACAGTTTAACCTGATTTCCTACAGTAGGACATGTTCTTGGAACAACGCTCTTATTAACTGAAGAGATGAGAATAGGTAGATCTGTGGAAGCTTGTTTATGCTATAGGAAATGAAAGTCTATCTCTTTTTAAAATTGTGGATTTATGTTTACATTTAAATTAGGTTCACTTTTAAATTGTAATTTTGAGAAATTTACATCACACTGAAATTTTCCCAAAGAGCATAGAATCACCAAAAGGCGACACTCTAGTGCGATTTGGGAAACAGCCAGTAGATGCTGTGGCGGCCATTTTGTAATGAAAACTCCAATAGAACAACAGCATATTATAAGTCTGTAAAATAAACTATTAAAAGTGCTGATGATTTTGATAGTAGGTGTTGTATTGTTGTCTTTCAGGTTGTATATCAGCTTTAATACGTTTTTTAAACAAATAAATAAAAAACAAAGCAGCTGCTTGACATTGCAACAGCAATAATATCCAAAGGACGGCCGATCGCTTTCATTCCATAATGGCGGAATCTGGGGCTGTAGCTGGGTGCTTCCGTTGGAATGGAACATTCTATTGAGTGTCGCCTCTTGGTCATTCCAAAGAGTCTAGAACAGGGGTCTCAA